TCGTAATCCTTTGAAATTTTGAACATAGTCCTACATTATGAATATCTACAGCATGATATAAAAGAATTTTCATGAAAGCATGCGCATGTGCGCGTGCTGTAATCTGATTGGCTGAAACTTTAAATGGCTATATATCCTTTGTTTTTTGACGAAATTCTTTGAAATTTAAAATATAGTCATGCATTAGGATAACCTACAATATGGTATAGAAAAAAAATCATGAAATCACACGCATGCACGTGTGCTGCAATCTGATTGGCTGAAACTTGAAATGGCTATATATCCTTTGTTTTTTGACGAAATTCTTTGAAATTTAAAATATAGTCATGCATTAGGATAACCTACAATATGGTATAGAAAAAAAATCATGAAATCACACGCATGCACGTGTGCTGCAATCTGATTGGCTGAAACTTGAAATGGCTATAACTCTCTTGTTTTTCAACCAAACCGGATGGGATTTAGAACAGAGATAGATGTAAAGGACTCCTACAAGAAGGTATGGTCATCATGCACGTGCACGCACGTGCGTGCATTTAGAACGAGTATAATTAAAAATACACTTGAATGAGTGATTTTCATTTCTTTTGGACTGAATGCTTTAATATATAGTATATTAAAATATATAGATAGTGTAGACAAGATGATATGGTCATAACGCACATGCATTCACGTACATGCGCTTGGGTGCAATGCTAAAATATGAATATAATTGGTATCCTTTTGGGAAAACGATGTTAAAGTCAAAAATGCACAGAGTTTTTCTTATTTAATTAAGCTTACAGGGAATATGGCACCAAAAGGGAGTTGGGGAGCGTTTGGGGAACATCTGTAACGGTTCCCGTTACAATTAGCACTAGTTTTAAACGAAATTGCTAATCTTGTTTCACCAACTTGTTTGTCAATAACTTAATTCGTTTTAGAAACTGTTCATAGGTAGACCATGCTCTAGCGTATCGAATCATCTCAGAGTTATAAACTCCGTATGCAGGAGATAAAGGTATATTGCGGCATAAGTAAGGAAAATTGACGAGTGAAATGTTAAGGTATTTTGATCCTCAGGTTCTGAAAATCAGGCATTGACTGATTGTTAATGCTCACAAAAATGTCTCTGAATTCTCAAAGTTCAATGCGCTTTTACCCATAATAATTCTTCAACTTTATCTCTAAAGCAATCTGATCAAAATACGGATCCCTCATATATCTGCGCTCTGTCCTATGTAGAGATCTGTATTTTAATCAGGTATCCAGGCTTCTGAAGAAATTGCACGATTTTAAACATAAAAGGCACTTTAGTTTTTTCTACTTGTATTTCGATCATTTTGCAATGCAAAGTGTATTAATTAAGATTTTCTTATCACTGCAAAACACTATAAATCACTTATTATTTCATACCATATTAATAAACATTGGTATGTATGGTTGGATAAAAAAAAACCTTTCTTTAAATATGTAATCTTAAAATACTTTATGGGGTAAAAATTTCGACTTTTCCTAAGACCTTTCTGTGAGATTCAAAGAACCTCGGAGTATATTGAAAGGAATAAAATGAAAATTGTTGTACGAAAAGTTTCAATTTTCAATTTTTATTGTGAGACTTTTTGAATTAAATTATGAATTAAAGAGTTATCCTTCCTGGCTGAGGATCGGCGTACCTTAAAGTCATCATGTTAAATTAGTTAACCCTAGAATTTTTTTGTCCCCCGCTTTCGCGAAAGCGAGGGGACATTAAATCTCATTCGTCTGTCCGTCGGTCCGTCTGTCTGTCCGTCGGTCCGTCAGTCTGTCCGTCCGTCACAAAAACTTTAACCTTGCCCATAACTTTTGATTTAGTGGAGCTATAATTTTCATATTTCATATGTGTATTCCTTGTGATAAGACCTTTCTTTGGGTACCACCAAATTTGACCTTTTGACCTTGACCTTGGAGTTTCAACTACTTTTACTAAAAAATTCCAAACTTTTACTTTGGCCATAACTTTTGAATGGTAGGTACTAGGACTTTCATATTTCACATATTTATTCTTTGTGACAAGACCTTTCAATGAATACCAACAACTTTGACCTTTTGACCTTGACCTTGGAAATTTACGTACTTATGAAAAAACTATATCCTTGACCATAATTTTTGAACGGTAAGGGCTACGGCTTTTATACTTCACATATTTTATTCTTGTAAGAAGACCTTTCATTGGATACCAAGAACTTTGACCGTTTGACCTTGACCTTGGAGTTTTAACTACTTTTTTAAAAATTATAACCTTGGCCACAACTTTTGAACGGTAGATACAAGGACTTTTATATTACACACATGTATTCTTTGAGGCAACACCTTTCATTGGATACCAACAACTTTGACCTAAGGACCTTGACCTTGGAGATTTACGTACTTCTGAAAAAACTTTAACCTTGACCATAACTTTTAAACGGTAAGGGCTAGGGCTTTCGAACTTCACGTATGTAATCCTTGTGAGAAGACCTTTCATTGCATGCCAAGAACTCTGACCCTTTGACCTTGACCTTGGAGTTTTAACTACTTTTTAAAAACGTTAACCTTGGTCACAACTTTTGAACGGTAGAAACTAGGACTTTCATATTTTAAATATATGTATTCTTTATGGCAAGACCTTTCATGGGATACCAAAAACTTTGAGCTACTGACCTTGACCCTAAAAATGATATCTTGCCCACAAAGATACCGAAAGCGGGGGACCACAATTCTTTGAATTTGCTTGTTTATTTTTAAAGTAGTAAACACCACTGAAAACCACAATAAGTTGATATTACAGGGATTTCAACAGTCTCCTTTAAATCAGCTTTTTTTTAACTTCCATGTTGGTTTAATGGCCTTATTATCCAATATAACCTACCTTTGGGTCAAGCACGACCTACCACTAGGTCTTTATGGACTGATTACATCTTCGCTTTCTTTTGTCGTCATTTCTGAGTGTTCTTTGAAGGGGTACTACTAAACAGAGTGCGCTCGAGTACGACCGAGTATATACTTTACAGTGCGCTATAAGAATTGTGTAATTTAACGCAATTAGATTGTTTTATATATATATATATATATATATATATATATATATATATATGAAACTTGACTATATAAACATTATTTTAAACTTATATTGTAATATTTGTTTCAAATATTTGTTTTTAGCGATAAATTACAAGAAAATAACATTCATAATTCAATGCATTAAATATTTATTAACACTCCGATCTCCATTACTGTTCTGTTTCAGATTTTAGTTACTATAATTTCAACTAAATTTTATCAAAAATTTAATTAATTGCATTTTGTAAATATTTTTCACTTTAACAATGAAACATTTCAACATGTTCTAGTTAAAGATTAGATCGGGATCAAAGAATAAACCGAAACCTGAGATCAAAAATTGAAACGACTCCTAATATTTAGGAAAACAGATAAGATAAGATTTATTAATACCAATTTAGGGACCATCAGGGCATACAAGTAAAGAGAAAAACATACAAGAAGAAATTCAAAGAAAACATGCAAATTTTATAAATTTATAACTTGTTTGTTTGTTTGTTTATTCAGGAAATGGCACATGAAACATAAGATTGGCACATAAAAGACAAGTTGGCACATGAAATCAAAGAACTCGTAAAAATTTATTAAATAAAAAAACATTGTTCTTAAAACACTGACATTATGTTTATAAAAGTCATGTACTTAAGAAAAACAATTAAATCAGTGTATCTAAATGAAACTAAGAAAAGCACTATATATTTGGTGTACTGTGTACAGCCATTTACCCGAGGATGACCCATGAAAGCCATAATATGCTTATTTCCAATGGGGTTCTCATAGATTGTAACAGTAAACTATTTAGCACTAATGCTAATGCTTTGATATAAATAAGATTAAATAAAACAAAAATAAATAAGACAACATATGTATTATAAGAAGCTAATAGTATAAAAACTCATTTTCAGATATTGATCTCATGTTGAATAAGAGGTGTTTTTTTTTTTTATTCTTTTTTGAAAGAGGCTTTGTTGTTGATGGATTTAATCTCATCTGGAAGTGAATTCCACTCCTTAATATCATTATAGCAGAAAGTTTCAGACTCTGATTTAACAATTCTGGGGATAAAAAAGTTCAATTTGTTAGACCTAGTTGTTCTTGTAGAGTTTTGAATAAAATGTTCAGATAAATAATTTTGACATTTCTCATGAAAAATAAAACATGATTAAGTCGAAGTTGAGAAATTCTATTACAGACATTCAAGAAACCTACGTTTTCAAATTCGCAAAAAGTAATTCTCTTCCTTTGATGTATATTGAGTATAAACCTGATTACTTTGTTTTTAGCAACCTGTAGTCTATTTTTCTTTTTCTTTTTTTTTGACAAATCTTCATACCAACAAGAACAAGCATAGTCAAAATGACACTGGATTAAGCTGTACATAAATATTTTCTTGACAAAAAAGATAAACAGTCTTTATATCTAAAAAGAAATTTCAGTCGCCGATTTGTCTTGCTGATAATATTTTCAACAATTTGTTCGCCAGAGAGTACGTTATCTAAAAATACACCTAAATACTAATATTACTTCACACATGTTTTTGTCTCAATTTTGACTCCATTGCAGAATAGCGAAAAAGATTCTAGATTCGGACGATGTTTCCGTCGAGGACCAAATAATATGCTCTCGGTTTTACCAGGGACCTATATACTAAGTATAGTATATAGGTCCCTGGTTTAACCCAGATGGAGAGACAATTTTTTATCAACTAATCAATCTTGACAGTGTTCTAACAAACAAGAGAGATTTTTAGAAATAACATCTGGATCTTTATGGGAAAAAGGTATAGCGGTATCATCAGCATATAAAAGTACTTTACAAAAAAACATTTATTTATTAAGGCTCTGTTTATTACTTTGTTCTTGTAAATAAAAGATATGAAATGTTCTTGTTAATAATTTATATGTCTAGTTATTTATTCATTTGTTTATTAATTTTACTGAATTTTTTTATTTCCAGGGACGTATTTTAGGGTTGGGATCGACATACAGAATGTCTTTTTCCAAGGCGCATGCGTTCAGTTGACGGAAGTACAAAAATGTCGTAGAGATTGTTGTTAATGTTTTCAAGTGATTAAAAAACAAGAATACTTAAATGTAAATATCTGGGATTGTACATCAGAAGAATTTTCGAAATCATTTGTAAGTGGTGTTTAAGTTAATGAAATGTTTTAAAGCAAGTGTAACCCTTTCATTTAGGTGTAGTTAATGAAGGTGAAGGTGTTGAGGCCATCCTTTAGGCATGGCAAAGGATTTTTTCATAAAACAAAAACCACAATTATATTTACATAGTTTGATTACTTTACCTTTTACAAATCAGGTACAGCTTATTTGAACTTCATATCTCTTCAAATAAAAAAGTTACAGCATTGGAATGTGACTAACCCCCTGTCAGATGTCATGTTTATATTTTAGAAAAATGTCCATGGAGTATGGCACTCTTTATACCTCAAGAAAAAAATTAGAAATTGACATTATTTGTCAAGCGCCATTGGAAGTGTTAGGATAGGCGTCGGGGACTGATGCACTTTCATGATTTCCACAGTACTCACTTTATAAGTCCATATTATGTTCCCAAAACAACAGTTGTGATTAAATTGCATTCTCTCGGTTAACCTTTACTTTTTTTTTTATCTTATTCTTTGCCTTTTGTAGTGTGTAAGTGTTTTCTGAAAATGCTTATCCAAGTGAATTTAAATCTTTTAAGGCATGTTATGTAGATATCCTCATGGAAGGTCATTTGACCCACATGTGCATGCATGTACAATGTATTTGAAGGCGCGTGCAATGAGTGATATGACTGACATACCTATATAGCCATATAACTTTCATATTTTTCTATGAAATGCTCTGAATCTCATGACATAAAGATATAGATTACTTGTGTAGTCAAGGTGACACAGTAAAATTAGCATGCACTTGTGTGCATCATTGCATGCTTGTGCACGTCCCTTTGAATGGCTAAAACAAATATCTCAATATCTTCTGTGTGTGATTTTTTTTTGACAAAATACCTGGTACTTTGAAAATTATGATATAGGTATACCGTATAATCATATATATATATATATTAAAAAGTTTTACAAGATGTTTTATGTGGAAATTCTAGAAAAAAATGTGCTGCAGCTATTCTATTATATGGCATATAAATGTAACTTCTAGAGTTTTTCAACAAAACATAAAGAAATTTATAACATGTATAGCATATATAGAAAGGTATAATAAGCTCCTAAATTATGCTACAAAAAGTTGAGTGCACCTGACATGCCTGCATGAGTGCCTAATTAGTTTCTGATTGTTAATATTTATGTTGTTGAATGATTTAACTTTCACGTATGCTTTCAGGAAAATTCTTTGAAATTTAAATTAAAATTAAAAAGAAATTTTCAAAAAGTTATAATATGACATTTTATCGTATTTATGACACAATTTATGAGACAACATTCCTGATAATTCTCAAAATCATAAGCATGCATGTGTACTCAAATTTGATTTGCTTATGCTTTTGGTGCTTTATATGCATTGTTATTTCCCCAAAATACTTTCCAAAATCTGTCAATTGAAAGACTTAAAATTTTGCTGAATATAATGAATCTAAAAGAGAATGGAACCCCAAAATATTTTTAAAAATCCTTCACATTATTTTTACTGAACCAGATATGTAATAAATAACTAAAACATTTTAATCCATTTATTTTATAAATTTATATAGTTGACCACTTTAATTCTTTAGCTTCCAGCTGTGGATCTCTAGAAATCTATAAATTGAAAGTAAAGGAGAATCAGCTAGCTGATTTTTTCTCCATATTATGATAATTTATTTATTTATCTGTATCCATGATTAAAGATGATAATCTCAACTTGGATCCGTGCCTTGTGGTAAAGGACAATAAACTAAATTTCATTGTAACGTTTTGTAATCTACCAGAACATTAAAAGCAAGTAATTTATATCAAATAATAAATTTTAATCTTGTTAAACCAATATAATATTAGTTCTTTTTAAATAATTCAGCGATTTTTACATGTACCGTACGTACTATGAATGTACTGAGGCGTGAATCGAAAACGAGGCTTGGACAAGTTGCGATGTAGATATGTTAAAAAAAACGTTTCTTTCTTGTGAATACGGGTACAGATCGCTATATCTTTTCATGAAAAAGAACTAGAAAATAATATTTTTAAAAATAGTGTCAGATTGAATGGCGTATTAAAACTGACAAAATTTCTACCGCATATTTTACTTTTTGGTTGGGTGTCATTTATTTAATTTTCACGCTTAAAAACATAAAAAATAAAAATACGCAAGCTATAATACCTCTTCTAAGTTTATATCTTTATAAAGACGCATTCTGTTACGTTCAGGCTCAGAAAACTGCCGTAACATTTATACCACTTTTACATTGCCCGCCATTAAAAAATATACGAAAACGCGAGGACGTTTTTGTCACAACAAAACAGAGTTACGCGCCCTTTGCTTTACCGTGCCTACATCCTTAAAAAATTTTTTTTTTGCGGTAACGCGCCTCATCATTTTAGGTGTGGGTAGGTAGGTAGGCTTATTTTTTTTTTTTGAGACAAAAAGTCAGAATTAAATTTCGATTAGATAGAGGTACATGTATTAAGGGTCATAAATACTCTGATAAGCGAGATAACTCGCACAAAATTCTTCTCCGTTTTTATCAGAATTCCGTTTTTACCGACCGAAATTTTTGTAGTCTATGTGGAACTCTTTTGTATTTAGAGATGAAAAAATAACGCGCGTTGTTAGTGATGGAAGGTAGGAAAAGATTCAAGAATGGCAGGTTCAAAGTAATGAAAAAGAACAATGTGGAGACTGATATAAACAATAATAATGTTGATTGTGGGTCAGATAATGCACATGTAACATTGTGTGAGTCAGAACCAGCTTGCCAGAGTAAATCTTGCGCTGAATCTTCCACGGACGCCAAAGAAGTTGATAGTGAATATGTTCTGCATGGCAGACGTATTATTGACTTCAAATACTTCGCAGAAATGTTGTTTACGGGCTGCCCCTCATGTAAAAAGCCATTACATCTTGTAAATGTTGTAAAGGAGAGAAAATATGGCTTAGCGAGTATTTTTTACATCAAATGTGAATGTGGTGAAGTTACATCAGTGGCGACTGGCCGTAGACAGAATGATGAGAAAAATGGCCAAGGATCTTTTCATATTAATACTAAACTTGGAGTTGGTAGGTAATACTTAAATGTATTGTTGTTATCATAAGTTTTTATATGTAAAACATTTTATGCATATATATTCTATGCAAGTGCACTTTTCCTTATTTTTTAATTAGTGCAGGTACAATTCTATTTTATATTATTTTCAGCTCTTGTTCATGCTGGAATTGGTGAGGCAGCCATTTCAAGAATTTTTGCCACCCTCAATATTCCATGTATCAGCCCAAAAAGTTTAAAAAAGCAAGAGAGAAAAGCAGGATCTGCAATTGAAAAAATAGCCAATGAATCATGTGATAATGCCCTAGCACAAGAAGCAGAACAGTCAAGGTTTGCAAACATTTCTTTTCTCAATTATAAATTGTAGATGTATATTCACTGTTTTGTAGATCATATATATGGTTTTTTTTAAAATACTAATCATGCATGCGTGTCTTATTGTGCATACAGACTTATGATTAATGTCTTTTATATAATGATTGACAATCTACCTGTATAAAATGTAAATAAAATTATACTTTTATATTGTAGCAATGGTCTTGTCCTGTCATATGATGCAGGTTGGCAGAAACGCGGCAGTGGAAGAAATTATAGTAGTCTTTCTGGTATGTAAATCTGACGTAAATTTTGAAATAGAAAAGGGCGTGCAGTAGAAATTGCCTGTAGACATTATGGATAATGGAAAATACTTTCAGGAATCAAGTTGTTCAAAAATAGACACTATATAAAGAAGATAACAAAGAAATTGAATGGAGTCAAGCTCCTGTAAAAATAATTACGACTCTATATAAAACTATGGAAAATCAGACTGTACACGGGCAGCGTCGGTAACGCCAAGAACGATAACTCTTATAAACCCTAGGTGTCTCCACTACAATGAAAATAAAAATTAACAATATTGTAAGAACTAATTCACTCTTATAAAATTTCAGGTCATGGATCAATGTTTGGTTTGGAAACAAAGAAATTGGTGGGATTTAGTGTAAAGAACAAGACTTGTAGAAAGTGTGATATAGCATTCAGGAAAGGAGAAATTGCCTCCCCCCATGATTGCAGAAAAAACTGGGATGGCAGCTCTAAAGCCATGGAACCAGCAATGGCCGTGGACATTCTAAATAACATCAAAGAGAAAGGACATCAGGTGAGAACTATAGTAATGGATGATGATGCAACAACAATAGCAAAAATAAGGAGAGAAGTAGATGAATCCATTCACAAATCTAGTGACAGGAACCACACTGTGAAGAACTTTACAAATACTCTATACACAGTACAGAAAGATAAAAAACTACACAAGGTGCTCAGTTCAAAGACAATTAATCACATCAAGAAATGTTTCTGTTATGCCTTAGCTTCTAACAAAGATAGCCCATCAACTTTGAGAGATAACCTGCTGGCCATACCACATCATTTGTATGGTGACCATCAAAAGTGCAGTGAGACATGGTGCAGATATCTTCAAAGGCCAGATAAATACATTCCAAAGAACCTCCCATACGGAAAGTACTTATCAGATAAGGAATTGTTCACTGAACTGAATCAGATCTTCACACAGTATTCAGAAATTGCTGATAAGCTCTCAACCCTGGAAAGTACTCAACGTAACGAGAACTTCAACCAAATGGTTGCACACAAAAATCCAAAAAACAGATGCTATTCAACATCAGAGAGTACATCTGTTAGAGTAGCAGCAGCTGTGTGTCAACAGAACATGGGGGAGCAGTATGTACTTCAGGTAAGAAAGTATACCTATAATTGCATAATGTGCATGCAGAAAGGAAAAATGTGAAATAAACATAATTTTTGTATTTTACAATATTTATATATTTATTCATCATTGTAGGCTAATGAAGAATTGGGACTTTCCCCTGGTAGAGAAACCCAAGTCTATGTTGAACGAAGACAAAAGAAAAGACAAAGGGAAGAAAGTGAAATGCAATCACGTGCATTTAAAAGGAAATGCGCTGAGAGGAAAGGGACAAAGCACTCAAAAGCAGACATAATGGAAATGAGGGAAGGTGTGACATATCAGCCAGGCATCGATCCTGCAGGATTTCCAACAGCATCAGTTGAAACAATCCCCCCTCCCCCTCCAGCAGTAATCCAAATGCCTTTACCATCTGATGATTACACCAGAGTTTATTTTGATCTTGAAACAACTGGCTTAGGTATACTTGATCAATACATGTAAAATATAGTGATATCTGAAATCTGATGTGAACTATTTATTAGTCTGATTTCATGAGTACATGTATGCTTTACTGTATTATTTTTTACAGGAGTTGCAGACATAGTCCAGATTGCTGCAGTCCATAATGAAATGCAGTTTTCAACATATGTGAAGCCAGATATTCCTATATCAGCATCAGCATCAAAAGTAACTGGACTTACATTTGGCGGCACAATTATGTTCAAGTATGGCAGCCCTGTCGCCTGTCTTTCTTTAGAGCATGCGCTACGCAACTTTCAATGTTGACTTCATTCATTGAAAAATCCTATTTTATTTGCTCATAACTGTAGAAAGTTTGACAGTTTAGTATTTTGTAGAGCAATGCAAAAGGTGCCCACAGTTGATGTAAAGAGAAGTTTCTGTGGGTTTTGTGACACTTTGGAGTTCTTCAGAAAATCACTCCCAGAGCGACAAAAGTTTTCCTTAGAAAGCCTGGTATCGAGCATTTTGAACATCACCTACAATGCTCATGATGCTCTGGAGGACTGCAAAGTGTTGCAACAACTCACGGAACTTCCAGTCCATGAAGTTCAGAGTAATTTTTTGAAATATACATTTACTGTTGAAAGTTGTTTTGATATTTTATATCTCCAATGTAGCAGTAAGTTAAACTTCGAGTCTTTGTCAATGCTTGTTGCAAACCATGTTGTTTCAGAAAACATAGCAAAGAAAATTTCTTCATCAGGCCTGTCTTTTCATCATTTAGAATTGGCATTCAACAGAAGTGGTCATGACGGTATATACAACCTTTTTACAGAGAAAAAAAATGGTCATGCACGTGTAACAAATAGGAAAAACATTATATCTGCTGTGTCTTTGTTTTTCAAAGGGAGGTAACTCTTAAAAACAAACGAAAATTTTCAATGTAGAATTTTTGACAAATTTATTGTGACAAAAAAAGCATCGCTACCCTATGTTTTGTTTGTTGTTTTATATTCAGTTGACACTATATATTGTTGTTATATATGTTATATATTTTTAATTTGATTCTCTGACAATAAATTGTTATATTTTGTAAGTAGTGTTTGATTTTTCTTCATAATATGATTAACTTGATTAATAATTCTTGAAGAAAGTAGTATCGCAAGAGGCATCTAAAAGTATACCATGTTAACTGGATAGTATTCTGCTTAATGAAAATGTATATCAGAAGAGTGTAAAAAAAGTTGCATATTTTTGAGCAGAGTATTAATGAACCTTAACTATGTCTTAGATTTCACTTTAAGTTACTAATCAAACAAGAAAATTAAGGCATTCTTAATGAATCCAATCTTTTATTGTTCAAATATCAGAACACATCAGTTCTTTTTTAAAAACGGCGTCTACAGGTGCAATGGGGATGTAAAAAAATGTCAATAGGATAAAATTAGAAAATGGATATGTAAAAAAAAAAAAAAAAAAAAAAATTTTTGAACCCATAAAAAAAATCCAGTAGGGTGGATTTTGGTGAGTCGGTCGCGTTACCGCAAAAAAACAATTTTTTAAGGATGGCCTGACAACTTCAGTGTATGCAAGTGTTGCCACTTTAAAACGAAATAATTAATTGATATTATAGCCACTGTAAGTGGTTTGTTTGCAAATTTCCCAAGTTTTTATGTATCACTTTTAAAAAAATTAAACTAGGTATTGTTTTTTTCTCAACTATTTATTTTGCGAAATCTAAACTTTAATGGCCTGAATGGGGTTTGAACTCAAAATTCTATACCACAACTTGCCACAAGCACTTGTTTTGGAAGTAAATTTTAAACCATAGTAATATATTTGCATATCCACTGCTCTCTCCCACTATGAACCTGCAGGCTTCAACTGCGTTCATAGCACTATAGACGCAACTGCTTCTGCTATGAGTGCAATTGCTCTATCACACTCCTGTAGAACAATCTCTACTGCACTTATACAGTGTGTTGAGAAGTATATATATGAAATGTTTCATGAGAGGAATAAAAATAAGTTTTTAATAATATTCTTTGAAAAAAAGGAAAATCAGAATATTTAAAATTGCTGATTCATATCTTTAAAAAATTTAATTTTGGTCAATGTATTTAATTGTATAATAAAACTTTTTAAAAATTTAGAGAACGGCTATATTTTTATTTTTTCGTATCATGCATATTTGTACAAAGAGCGATAACTCTTCACACTTGGGTAATAACATTCAGAAAGAGAAAATTTAATTTAATAGACCTAGTATATCTACTTCAAGAATGATTTCAGCTATTAAAAATAAATAGAAAAACTAAAAAAAAATTATAGAAAAGCATTTTGGAGTAATAATCATTATAAAAGCATTCTCATTTTTCATCATAGATTTAAATTATTGATTTTTGTCGGAGGGTTTCAATAACGTTGATCGATGACGTCACAACTGCATCAAAACAAAAAAGAAAATGTGACGACGGCGCTGCTTGTATCCAGATAACTGTGTTTGAGAGGGAAATACTTAATAAATTGTTTGTGATTTATTAGAGAAAAGGATCATTGATCAGGTGTAGTGATTTTAAAGCCGTATGTTTTTCATTACTGAAGACAAGAAGCTGCGTCCTTATGTAAGTCAGGATTTCCTCTGATATTCTTGAAAAACTCAAAGAATGCAAATATAAGTAATAAACAACGATTATTCAGTGAACATGGCGTTATGAATAGCAATTGCTCTGCTGGCATATTTTCCATGATGCGCTAGCGCGCATCATGGAATATGCCAGCAGAGCAATTGCTATTCATAACGCCATGTTCACTGAATAACGTTGTTTATTTCTTAAATGTCGAGGTGCAACAGTAACGACGAGCGCAGGTACTGATTTAAATTTCATTTAGATTGGGCTTGTCAAAGTGCACATGACATTCGGTGCGTCTAAGATTCTGACGTCACATGACGTATGCATGTTGCTTTACCAAATTCAAGACTGTGCAGGGCTGATTTTAATGAAAAAACTGTTTTATTTTTTGCAATAAATTCATTAAATCAAGGCAAGTTTATTATTCGTTTAACTTTTTGCTGTTATTCTTGCGAAAATGCTGCTTTAGCTTTTTTGTTCGAAGCAATGCATTGTGAGTCCAAGGTTACTGCATGCGGGAAAAATTCTATCAAATGGATGTTCAGTAGTCCAAATTTTCCCGTCCGACATCACCCATGCATTGTCATTAGAGCTCGCAGTGATGAGAGTCACTTCATGATCCTTGCTATAATAACAGAAACCTGTATACTAAGGGGAGAGGCAACTCCTTCATTGCCATGTTTATTTACCAGAAATATAATATAATTTACATAATTACCAGGGTTCGACACTAACATTTTTAGGCTTTGGTCCTGCCGGACTAGTGCTTCTTTACTTTTACTAGTCCGCGGGCAATTTAATTAGTCCGTCAAAAATAAAAATAATTTAATAGAATTAAAGTTGCAATGTACTTTTTATAATTTTTCGAAATAAACAAAGCATTTACATGAAATGTATATATCAAGAATTCGTTGAAATCACACAATCAGGAACTACGATCGTATTCGGGATCTCATTCGATTACATCATCTAAACATCTGACATCTTTCTTTGTGATCGCTAAAATATTTAATTTCATTCCAAGGAGTCCTTAAATTAAGCGCTGAATTGACTCAGAATTACCAAACTTCCCGCCAAGAAGCTACAAAGTTAAAAATAATTACGGGGTTTTCCAGTGAAAGTTGTCGAAAATTTGAACATCGGTAAATTCTTTTTTTTCCCCACAAAACTTTATTAGTCCATTCGGACTAATTAGTTACAATTTTTATTAGTCCGAATGAAAATGTGTTAGTCTGAGACTAACGGACTAACGTTAATGTCGAACCCTGATTACATGTAAATGATATTGTTTATCGAGATTAGAACATACAGTTTCTTGGTAGTATTAGACTTTCCACTTGGCCTTGGCCAGCAGAGTTTTGATGCTGTTTACAGAGATAACAAAGACATGCATGCCATATATGGTTGTGTAGATAAATTACCGTAGAAGAAAATGGTAATAAAAACTTTTTCAGTGCATTTCCTATGAAAGTGAAAGGAGGTATAGTTGAAAGTTGGCATGAGAAACTTGCATAGCCACAAGAAACAAAGGGCATGTAAATCCAGAGATTTAAGCATCAAAATATACTTTTTTGTTTTGACTTGAATGGTTGATTCTTACAACAGACATTAAATTTACATTTGTGATTAAATTACACTGTGTAAAAAAAAGTAACAATGACTTTGAAAATGCTTGTTTAAAACATTTATACTTGACTTTAATCCTACTAAATCTATTCTCACTAAATAGTCACGTGTCATATCTAACTTTGTATGAATGTAATCTTAAAAAAATCCAAGGTTTTAAGTTCATTTTTAAGCTCACCTCGACGAAGTCGTGATGAGCTTATGCTATACCCCCGGCGTTGGCGTCGGCGTCCCAGGTTAAAGTTTTAGGAGCAAGTCCATTCCCAAGTAACTATAAGCCCTACCTGAACCAAACTTGCATGGATGATGCATCTAGGGATGTACACTACCAGACTTGCTTCGGATGCTGGATCTGACCTACATTTTCCAGATGAGTGACCAGGTTAAAGTTTTTGGAGCAGGTCTATTCCCAAGGAACTATAAGCCCTACCTGGACCAAACTTGCATGGATGATGCATCTAGGAAAGGACACTACAAAACTTGCTTCGGTTGCTGGATCTGACCTACATTTTCCAGATGAGTGACCAGGTTAAAATTTTTGGAGCAGGTCCATTTCACAGTAACTATAAGCCCTACCTGGACCAAACTTGCATGGATGATGCATCTAGGGATGGACATTACCAGACTTGCTTCGGAAGCTTAATCTGACCTTCATTTTCATTCCCAAGTAACTATAAGCCCTACCTGAACCAAACTTGCATGGATGATGTATCTAGGGATATTCACTACAAGACTAGCTTCAGGTGCTGGATCTGACCTATTTCATTTTCATTCCCAAGTAACTATAAGCCCTAGCTAAACCAAACTTGCATGGATGATGTATATCTAGGTATGGACACTACCAGACTTGCTTCGGATGCTGGATCTGACCTACATTTTCATTCCCAAGTAACTATAAGCCCTAGATAAACCAAACTTGCATGGATGATGCATCTAAGGATGGACACTATCAGACTTGCTTCGGATGCTGGATCTTACCTTTATTTTCCATACAAGAGACCAGGTTTAAGTTTTGGGAACAGATCAATCCAAATGAACTTGAAGTCCTTGATATCTGCAGTATTAACAGTTATGAATATTTGTTTACACTATACATGTTTTTCCTGCTACACGCGTAGAAATGTGTATATGCCATGTAAGGGGTTAAACACAACTTGCAAGAATATTGTTGTGATGAATACTAAATATTAAGAAAATATGATGTGAGATTTGCATTACTTAAATTGATAACATTCATTGAGGTGAGCTTTGTAATCTTTGATTACCTATGTTTAATTATGTCAAAATATATTTATAAGACATTGAATGAACTAGAATTACAGTGGACCTTCAGATATCCGGACGCCAGATATCCGGATGCTTCAGTATCCGGACGCTTTTTCATCGGAACAAAAATTTTAAAATGTTATTCTATCTTGTTTAACTGATGATTCAGATATCCGGATGCTTCACATATCCGGACAAATTGACTGGGAACCAAAGCGTCCGGATAAATGAAGGTCCACTGTATACACAAGATCCACTACAGTAGAACTTGGTCATAATGAAGTCACAGGGACCCAAGAAATTAATTCACTATATCCATAATTCGTTATATCCGTAAAAAGAATTCATTAGATTAATATAGCTGGGGCTCCAAGGTTACTTTGTTAAATCTGTAAATTTACAATATTTGTGTTTGTACTAAATGAGTTTTACTGCATCAGGTAGAGGGATATAAAGCACTGAAAACTTTTTTATCCAGTTTACTGGAATTGAAAATAAAGAATTTACCTATTGCCAAAAAACAAAACCAAAAATAATTGGCAGTGCACTTAGGAAAAGTAAGAAAGGGCAACTTTCTTCATGATGAAGTGCTAATTAACAAATAAAATTCACTATAATTTATTGGATGCCTGCAAGCTGCTTCATATTTAAATACTACAGCAATTGGGATAAATTTGAGGAAAGTTTCGTTTATATTCAATGGATATAAAAGTACTTACAAAACAAGTTGTTTTCCTCATAACCTAATAATTCTTTGTCTGTCACTGTGTATGAACAAATTCATTGTGGACAGATGACTTTTTAGGCCCCCCTTGAAGGGAGGGCATATTACATTGCTGCTTTCTGTTGGTCAGTCTGTCTGTCTGTTGGTCCACAAAAAGATTCCGTTCAATTTCTTTACAGAGGTTGCACATACTGATTCATAAAGGAAATTTGGTATACAGATGTTTCATAAGAATATCCGTCAAATTTTGGTGTGGGTACCTCTGGCAATTTTTGAAAGAGTTATGCCCCTTGAATTAAAAAAATTCCCAATTATTTGCAGTTTTCCTTCATTTTCTTCACATGTATGTACAGATGGGGAGGGGTGCATATGTGTTTTACAAACCTCTTTTGTTTCAACTGTATCATCTCACTTTTTGAAAAATTACAGTTTTGTAATAACACTATTCTCTTGTTGTCCATTGTTGTCTTGACAAAATGCTCTATTGCTCAAAAGGTTGTTAAAAATAAACTTTTTTCAATGTGAGGAAATACAAAGTTGACATATCAGATCAAAAAAAGAAGATAAACTTTTTTTTTTATCCTATGTCACGTTTTAATACCTCGTGTAAAATGAAAGTACTTTTTATCCAGGGATAATTGAAGTTTCCAAGATTGACATATGTAAAATTTCTGAGGTAGATCAAGTTACTTGAGAGATTATGTATGTATCATTCAGTTTACTACACGGTTCTTCAAAGTTGTCTTGAGAGAAAAGTGCATCCCAATTTTTTTTTTTTTATCTTTAAACATGATAGAGTACTTACATTGTTTACTTAAGTAGTAATGATTATATTCTATTGAAAATGTGTGAACAGATAGACAGAAGGATATTGATAGTGCTATAGCACTTAGCCTGGTGTGAGACATATTGATAGGCTTGTTATGGTGATATATACAGTGGACCCTCATTTATCCGGACGCTTTGGTTCCCAGTCAATTTGTCCGGATATGTGAAGCATCCGGATATCTGAATCACCAGTTAAACAAGACAGAATAACATTTTAAAATTTCGTTCCGATTAAAAATCGTCCGGATACTGAAGCATCCGGATATCTGGCGTCCGGATATCTGAAGGTCCACTGTATATAAACCATATTGATTTTTTTCTTGTCATAATTCTTAGAGAACTCAATTTTGCTCCCAACAGAAACCAAAGCTATTTGAGACAGACTGTTGGTAATATTTTTTTTTTACCTTATTTTCTTTTTTTAATAATGTTTATTGTCAGAGTTGCTGATGTTGCAGTGTGCATATAAGGTCACTTTGTGATATAGAGGAATTTTGAGACTCTCCCCTTCATAATTTTGTGTAAAACATTTAAAGTGGTCGATAACCATACTGGATTACACTGTCCCTGATTTTAGACTCAATTCACTTGCAACTGATTGACAGTGTAACCTGTATAATCAGAATGTTTATAATTTAAATTACCAGAGAGTTAAAATGTCTAATTTTTTCTATTATAGATGATGTGTGAGCTACAAGCCACACTGGAGTTCTCCCTAGAATTCAACAAGTTCTTCAATGTAGACTTGTTCCAGCGTGGGTAAGTATAATACTGTGTTATATTTCTATATTTTAATAATGTAGATCAATTTATGTAATTGTATTAAATGCTTAATAATAAATATATTCCAGTGCATGTGTTCTTTTGATCAGGTATTATCAAGTACGAGCCACTTTGAAGACTTCACCTAAACTACCAGCTAAAATTGAGGTGACTTTGCCCAAAGCTTCAGGTAATGATGATGACTAACTTTGATGCATTTAATTTTAATGTAGCTAAGAAATGATTTGGTGCACATCAAAGTACATTTTGGCATGTGGGTACTTTTAGCAATCAGACTTCTCTGAGTTTTAATTAAAGACACAAGAAAAATGTTTTACTACCTGGCATGTTTTATAGGCATTGATCTGTTATCTTTTTCTATTTTAATTATTTTTTAGATGAAAGCTACATATTGCCGTCCTGTGTGGTTAATGGTACAGCCATCACCAAGACATTCCAGATTCTGTATCGAAATGAAGATGTGGCAATTAACGACCTTATTTTGTACCGGCTTCACACATTGGTCGATGCCAACAAGGTAGCGATTATAGTTAAATATCTGAAGTGCTTCCTCTTATGAATATTTGTTGATCTGTTATGTAAAGGTTTATCATAGTGACTGATTAACACAATAAGAGAAGGTTATTGGGTACAGGAGAAAATCAATAATAGATGTAGTTTTCATGGTTAATCACTCAGGAAGATGTTTGATACATCTCAAATTTTTATTAGTGGGAGGTTAATGTAATAAATATTGTATTTAAATATTTTGTGTAACATACTCAATTAGCTGCAAGAAAATAACACCAATTAAAGAAAATAGTGACAGTCATACCTAAAAATGATGATTTTTGTATTGTAAGCATGTGCAACTTCCAGAATTATGCATGATTTTGTTGATTGTTCTGTTTCAGATAGAGGAAACTCTAGATAAAGCAGACATACAAGTTGTTCTGGATTTATGGTTTTCTGAGGAGGATGGGGGGTAAGCTAAATGCCACAGTGACTGGCTTATTATTTAGTGTCTCACAGCATTTGTGTCATGCTTGACTGTCATGGTTGTGTTTTATGAATTAAATATAAATCAGATGGGAAATAATTTTGTGGGATAGGAAATATTAGTCAAACATACAGCCGACTCACTGCCTTGTACATACTTTTCCAGTCTGACGAGTCTGTCATACATTTCATTTTTTAAATAAAAAGATAAATGTCAGAAATAATTGATTCATTTTTCTTTTGAAAGTAGAACAGGTAATAAGAATCAGAATCTTCTACCTTAGTGCTCATCGATTTTTTATTATACAGTGAAACTTGTATAATCTGTATGTCATGTATTCCAAAATCTTGTCTTATAAAGCATGTTAACTTGAAGTCCCTTTTAGTAATTTCAGTTGTTTCAGATGTTGTCTAATCTAGCTGGTTTTTTTTATGGAACCTATAATGCCGGTGTCATATAATATATCTCTGCGAAATATTGAACCCCCTATAAGATATTGAACATGGGGTTCAAAATATTATGGCCATAAAACATTGAGTTCCCCTGCCCTTTTGATTTATAAAGAAGGGG